GCGAAGACGAAGTGCAACACGTGCGGAGAGCAAGGACATTCGGAGTGGCGATCGTGAGTGCCGCCAGCGTGGCAACAATAACAACAACAACAACTCGAGCAACTCGCCGCGCAGGATGATCGATGTGGTTACTGTGAAGACAGCCAAGTCGGCTGCACCGACTCAAGCTGAAGGACAAGAGCATGTACTCGCGGTGCGTGACAACTTCAACTACAAGGACAAGGACAAGGACCAGGACATGGTGGAGTGGGTGTTGGATAGCGGCGCGCAGACCAACGTCTCGAGCGACCTTACCTTGTTTACGGAGCTACACGAAGACTCAGTTGCAGAGCTAGTCTTCGGCAACGGCACAACCGAGCGCGCAACTGTAGGCACAGTGCTTATGCAAGTGCTGAACGAGCACACGGGCAAGATCGAGGAGCGCCTCCTTGATGACGTGAGCTACGCCAAGTCGGCTGCCTACAACCTGATCTCGCAGACCTACATGCAATTCAAAGGAAACTTCAAGGTGCGCATCTCGCATGATCAGAAGACTACGTGGCTGGTCAAGGACACATTGAAGCTGCGCTTCCAGTACATCCGCGGGATGTACCGCATGTGGACGCCACGTCAGAGCAAGAACGTGATGAGCGTCAAGGCCAGTGAAGCTGAGAACCCCATGACGTTGCTGCACAACCGCATGGGCCACGTAAACATGGAGACTATCAAGACTATGGCAGGAACCTATAACTTTGGCATCAACATGCAGTCGAAGAATTTTGCTCTCTATGAATGCATTCCATGCTTAGAGTCAAAGACGAAGCGCATGAGCTACAAGCGCAAGCCGTCTCGCTCTGCAAAACCCTTGCACAAGCTTTGTGTCGACCTATGCAGTGTTGGAGTGGATACAATATCGAAATCAAACCAGTTTCTATTGATTATCGACGAAGCTACGAGATACAAGTGGGGATATCTATTAGCCTACAAAGACGAAAGCCACGGAGCTGATTCAGAAGCAGATTCGCTGGATCCAGAACCAGTTCCCGAAGGCGACCATCAAGACGCTGTTCTCCGATGGTGGTGGCGAGTTCGTCAACATGCAGCTCGAGACCTTCTGCAAGGACCTCGGCATCGACACGCGTTCATCCAATCCCTACAGCCCGCAGGAGAACGCTATCGTGGAGCGCACGAACCAGACCGTCATGCGGCAGGTCAGATCTATGTTACAAGCTACGCAAATGCCTGTTTCATTATGGGGAGAAGCCTTCCTACATGCAATTGAGACGCTCAACAAGACGCCGACGCCGGTGTTGAAGGACCAGCAGTCCCCGTACGAGGCCCTGTACGGAGAGCGGCCAGACCTCAGCGTGCTGCGCACGTGGGGGTGCTTGGTGCACGCGCACATCCCTGATGATTCTCGGCAGAGAAAGGAGAAGCTCACTCCAAGGACGCAGATGTGCTTACTACTTGGCTACAGCGAGAAGACCAAGGGCTATAAGCTGCTGAACCTGCGCACAGGATCAGTGACGACGTGCAGAGATGGAAACATGAAGGCACATGAGAAGTACACGGTAAACACTGTGTATATTGAGCAACTTCTTGCAAACACCTACGCTTACGGAGACTACGACTTACCTGCGGAGATCCCGATCGTGCCGATCCGGACGACAATGTCTACGTACCTGCAGCTTCCTGCAGAGCTTGCAGAAAGGCGAGCAGCGGAGATGGCGAAGCTGGCCACTGCTGGTGAGAGCCATGACCAAGGTGTTGAAGTTGAAGCCGAGTCTGCGACTCGAAGTGATGACCCACAGCTACCAAGCGAGGACGCTAAGAAGCCAGCAGCTTCAGTGGGAGGTGA